ATAAATATTTTTTAATTAAACTTAAAAAATTTAAGTTTTATATTGAGCCAAAAAGCGTTCGGAGACTTTTGACGGGGTCGTACAACAAGAGGATTACTCAATGAGTTTTGACTTTGCGGATGCACCTCCAGACGTTAATACACGTAAGGAAAAAGAGAAGGACAACAAAAAGCTCAAGAATAAGGAACCAATCTGCAAAGTAAATAATCCAAAGCAAGTTAAAAAGGAGTGTATACCTATGATTATAGCTGGTGATGTTGAAGTTTCTTTGATAAAAGAATATTAGTATATCGGAATTATACTGAAACACAAAAGACAAATTGTGTTGATAAATAAGCAAAATATATTTAGGATAAGGAAGAATTTGTACGTAAAATATCAAAATTCATTCCGTTTTATGATGAACGAAGGATGTCTCAAAAAAATTTTCATCGCGGAATTTGAAATCTATGATTTGATAAATGACATTGAATTGAATCATAGTTGTATCACGTTTGGAATCAATGATGCATATAGACAATGTCAAATTTTTGACTTAAGAATTTTATCTATTAAACGATTTAGAAATCGAAAATCTTCTCAAGATGTAAATAATTAGTTATAGAAAATGACAAAACTGTATTTTTAGCCAATTATTGTACTTGCAAATAATCAGAAAACTGATCTTTACAAAAAATAATTATTTAAATTTTTAAGGAAATGCGTAACCTTTACACATATTTTCTTTTAAAAACTTTATTCTAAAAAGTTATTTAATAAAAAGAATTTAAACTTAATACTTTTCTTCTAATTCATTTAAATAGTTTAAAATTAGAAGAATGTAAAACATTTTTAAAAATTGTAACGCAAATTTAAAAATCTATTCGTTGAATTTTCAATTTATTTAGTTTTTGAAGGTTATCAATAATTTAGAAGATTTGAAACATTTCTAGAAAATTGTATAGCAGATTTAAAAACATCTGTTCATTAAATTTGATTTTTGAAGATTTTCGATAGTTTAGAAGATTTCTAGAAAATTATGCTGTTTATTGAATTTTTAATTTATTCGGTTTTCTTATTAATATTCTTTATCAATTTCAAAAGGTCATCTTTTATATTATTTTGAAATTATAAAAGAATAATTTTCTTATACATAGACATTTTATAAAATAGACTTTTAACACTCTCATTAGCTTGAAATGCTGGAAAAGAAACTTTAAAAACTATTTTTACTTAATATTAACTAAACTAATTTCAATAAGTTTCAGATAATAATAATAATAAATATACCTTTTTTGAAAAAAATAGTTTAAAAAGTCATCTTTATTTTAATATACTAAATTCTTCAATAGTAATTTAAGGATAATATTAACATTTCTAGAGATTGGTATGTGTCAATTGTAAAGATGGTCCCCATAATTATTTTCAAATTTCAATTAAATTGCAACTTAATTGCACCATAAGGAAATTTAATTGCGCCACAAGTTGCAACTCAATTGCACTATTTTTTTTAATTGTAGTAATCATCTTTAGTCAATTGCTATCTATTAATACTAATATCTTCATTTCAAAATGCTTTCTAATATTTTAACAAGCATGATTGTAACCATTTTTAACATCTTACACCTAATATCAATTATAAATGTATATATAACAAAAGAACAAAATACAAAGATAGCATAATATTATATAGTATATAATTAAATCCTTTTTATTTTTAATTTTTTTTAATAAATAAAATCTAGTTTGTAAAGTTAAACCCTTGTTAGTTATTTTATATCTATAAAAGAAAAATACACTGTTATATTTTTTGAGTTTGATTAAAGAAAATGAAGTAAAAATTACAGTTTTTAAGCATAAAAATCATAGATTTTTTAATAATAAACAAATATTTGAAAATGAAATTATTAAAATATAATGTTACCAAATAGTAAATAGTAAATTAATTATTAGCTTTAATTCTTTTAATTTGTTTTTATATTCATTCCTTTAAAATACTCTTGAAAATAAAAATTACATCATAAAAATAAATTCAAATATTCAATTCATAATACAATAGCGGTCATAAGTATCCGACCGCCCAAGATCGTCCAAAATTATTATATAACTACCCTTAAATTTTCCAGAAATATAATGTAACACAATACATGATCGCCTATAAATTTATAAGTGTCAATTATAGATGCCTGCCGAAACCTCCTCAAAATAATTTCGTCATATCCTTTTCTATGTTTTTAATATAGTTTCAACAGTTTCAGCTTTCGTCGTA